TAGACGATATTATGAGCCTAACGAGAACATTAAATCTGTTTCCATTGATCGTTCGTTGTTTAGATACTTTCACTTTCCTCTTTTCGTCCGACTAACAATTATCACGTACGAGATCATCAAACGGCTTTTACACGATCTTTTTCTAATCCTTTCACGAGCATTCGCGCACGCTTGGCTGACCTGCCGAGCGCGTGCCCCTGAAATTGACGAGTACTCAGAGAAAGTAACGAATCCCAGTGGTTTGCTTTCGATACTTAACGGGAAATAATGATACACAGCGTGTAAAATCCATGTAAAACATTACTTTGAAATCGATCTGTAAAGAATTCGATTTTCTTTCGAGTAAATTATCGAAATTATTAAACGTTTGTACGATTAAACTCTAGCAAATAATTTCTGCAAAATGAGAGAGTTTACGTTTTGAATAAAAGAAAAAGAATAAAAATAAAAGGCAAAAGAAACCGGAAAAGTATGATATCTTATGGACTTACAACGGATTTGTGTTCATCTTGTTGTTTAATTTTTGATATCAATTCGTATCATAAATGATAAATAAAATATTACATTTTACATATCATTAGTTATAAAATCTTAAAGAAAGTGAATTGTTCTTGATTTTAATTCGTCCAATTTATTGGAATTTCTATAAGTATGTCGGATATCGATCTCGCGGATTCTAATCACGCTAACAGAGAAAGGGATTTCATTGCAAGCTAACGCGATGACTAAGCAAGAGTGATTCAATCGTTGATCCATTAGAATCCAGGTGCACCGTGGAAAATTAATGGCATCCTTTCTCGAATTGGCAACCTTGAAGTTGTAATACAGACCGAGAGACCGGTCTGGGGATGTGTCATTACCTACGGATTACTCGATTACCTAATAAAGGGTCTCCACAATGCGAAATCCTGGAAAGTTTCTTCGTGGTCCTTTCTTCTTTCGCTATTACTACGATAATTAAATCTTAAACGTCTTGTGCAGCTCCCTTACAGAAATCAATTGCTTTTTTACTCGCTTATTTGCATGATTATCTTGCACGAATAAGATACTAATTCATTCATACCAAATAAGATTAATTTATCCCGAATTCTTCAATGATTCCATTACGTAGAATTTTTGTCCTTTTTATTGGACATTCAGATTTGTTAATTAAAAAAGAAAAAAAGAAAAAAAGAAAAGAAATAAAAGATATAGTTAAGTGCAATCGTAATTTTAGGTGAATCATTTTAAATTAATCATGCAAATGGTCGATTCGCAAGGCTCTCATTAACTTTTAAGAGTATCGATGTCAAGATAATTTCGAAGAAAAAAAAATGGTGAAGTTTTCATCGTTTCCCAGGAAATCTTCTCATCTCGTTATCACATTGGCGAACAAGTTCTCAGAGTGCTTACCGGCAATGAATTAATTCCTTTACGTGAATTTTACCATGGTGCCTCCGGAAAGTTTCAACCTTGCGCTATAAGTAATCGGGTTTAATGTTTAATTGTAAGGGTGATCATTCTTGTTCGTTATTATCGTTATATTGTTATCATTATTTATTCCTTCCTACATCTTTTTTATTGTCCCATTATCGGACAATTAAGCACTCATTAAGAAAAAGATACGTCTTTCTCGCGATTATCACATGAACATTGTGCTTTATAATGAGTTATCAAATATCAAATAAATAATCAATGAGTCCTAGATACCGATCTTATCACTGAAATCGATACGATCTCTTGTGCTAAATATTCTAGCATAAAATCATATGCATTTGTAACTCACAAAATGTGAAACTAATGGGACTATTATCATCAAGGATAACAAGAATTTCCGATTTCGTTTATCTTCTTTTCTTTGCTACGATAAATTAGTTACTTCCAAGATCGTTATCGTGATAACTTGTTGGGAAGCTAAGAAATTGTACATTTACATGCCACTATATTGCACGCTCTTTCCAAGAAGTAACTTTGTTAAATCGAGCTAGGATTATCTTGATCTTTGAAAAGACGTACAAGGGTACTCTAGACGAACAGTGCATGTATTCTCAAGATTTTAATTCAATGATGTTTAGTACACCATATGAAAAAATTAAAAGTATCAATTATTATAGTACTCAGTTTAGTTTTAAAAGTCGACACTTTCCGTATTTGTGAAAGAAACATTATTCAGTAGGAGATTATTTATAAAAATTCAAATTATGTAATTACAATTGTTATTAATTTTGTAATTTAGAGTTTAAAAAAAAAGTTTAGTATTCTTCGTATTCTAGAAAAAAAGAACAACAATGGAAGTCGTAAAATTTCAGGCATATAGAATTATTATTATTATTAGCATGAAATCGTAATTTCTTTTTTTTTCTTTTCGTGATTGAAGAATCCGGAGCGAAGTTGGAACGTGCTGACAAGGCTTCTCTCGCGTGGCATACTCGCAAAAAGAATTACACATGAATAAGATCGTTCGGCTTCCTTTCTATAGTGATACACCCACTAAATAACGAATGTATTGGATACGAGTCGACAAAAAACAGGTAACCGCTTTCTTCGAGATAATGTGCCGAATTTTACTCATTGCCAAATTCTTCGCTTGTCCACAAAATTGTCGAATGTCGAACAAAACCCGACCGTTATGACGAACAAAAAATTAGTAATACAAGATCGATGATCGTTCCGTTTTTGCTTCCAACCGAAATAATTTATTCCATGAATGAAAGTATTATATACGTTTTAAAAAAACATATTAACTATTAAACTTACTAATAATTAAAATTATTCATAGAGTAGTAATATACAAATAGAAGGTGTTATTATTTTTTTTTAAATATTCATTATACTGACAAATTTTATTGTATTTAAGAACGTAACATAGTTGAAATAAAATGTAGAAAAAAATAATTTTAATCTTATGACTAACAATAAGATATTCTATTAATTTTTTATTACAATTCTCTTTTATTCATTACGTTACTCACATAAAAAGTGATAGATAGCATGATTAAAATAACAGCAATTATGAAAAAGAATATTCATTAATATCAGTGATGTCACAAACTCGTATATGAACATGGGCTACAAAATGTAGTTGAAGAAAGTCTGCAGACCGCAAACAAAAATAAAAAAAAGATTACTCAGAAAAAACTTTAACGAGCAAAAACGAAACTTTTTTTATTTTGCATCGTAAGTTCTTGCAAACCGCGTGTTTGATGATATCATTGTTCTAAATAATTAATGGACTTTATTACATTTTTTTGATCTGTCGGATTTTGGGACTTAATTTTGGAGTTCTATGATTATTAACGAATGATACTTCATCGTCGTATTGATAAAAAAAAAAAAAACGAAACGGTAATCGAAACTCGAACAAAATCGGAATAAGGTGATGCAAAGGAAAGAAGAAAAGAGTTTTAATCGGAAATCGAAAAAGGGAAACCAGAAATCGAATTGCTTCGTTAAATACAAATCGAATTATAATCGCTTAATTAATTACATTGGTTTTTGGTTTGCTAAAAAAACTTACACGATTTATAAATTTCTTTATTTTAAAATTCTTTCTTCTTCGTCAATTAAAACAAATTTAAGAACAATATAAGTAGAAAATTTAAGAATTTATTAATATCCTTATTTTTGTTAAAATAAATAAATAAAATTAATATTATTGTCCATTTAAATTTATAAATAAAGTTAAATTGAATAGGTAAAATCTTATTAAAACGGAATACTTCATTATAATTTTGGTTACCCGTTAATATTTTTAAAATAAATAGTAATAGAGTTTCGAAATTTTTTTAAGCGGCACGAATTATAAGTTAATGTTTTGCAACGTTATGATTTAAAAGAAAAAAAATTGAGAAAAGAAGCCGAGAATACATATTGTAACAAACTTCCTTGCTACGAGAAGAGGTCGATTTACACGAAAAATAACAAAAAATGATTTTACTTATTTTATAAGAACATTAGCGGGAAGGAACGGGATAAAAATATGCAGATCCGTATAACTGTGCTTTAGGATTTGCCACGAGGAATAACAGAGGAAAAGAAATAAGCGTAAAAAGAAAATGAATTCGATTTAAAGGTGAAGTATTGATTTTATTTCGATTAACTTTTGAACTTTAACGTAACGTATTATTTCTTTATTAAAAAGTATTTACTAATTAAAATAATTTAACCCTCCAGGCAAACAAATTGTTTAATAAAGATACTAAAGAACTCTAAATTCTTGTGATTTAATTGGATTTATTTAATAGAAAGATACTTTCATTAAATTAATTAAATAGAAAGATACTAAATTAACAGAATGATTTGAATCTATTATATTTTATCTTTTCTTTTTCTTTCGGTCGGTGATAAATTCTAAAAACAAGAGGACAAGACTGTCCATCACTGAATACACCGGACGTGATTAATCCTGACATGATAATTAGAAGTTTCACTTAATTTACAAAACTCTACCATGAGCTTCCATCATTAATACAAGTTAAACATCAATGTTTGGTCTACTGACCTCGAAACTTTCCTTGGTAGTTACTTATTTTATTTCTTAAGAAATAAATAGCATATTAAACGAAAAACAATTATCCCGTTGAATAGGATAGAAAGATAAGGGAAACTTGGTGGCAATTGAAATGAATAAATAAATAGTCAAATATGGTTAGAAAGGCTTAAAAGACGATGGTGATGTACTTCATTACCGCTATGTAATCTTAGCCGATCTATCTCCTTTTAAAGGGTCTTTAAGCTTGCCGGCCGAGCTCATAATCTTACATTGGCGTAGTCAATTCAAAATTTAGATTTGAAGTTAAAGAATTGTTTTTATTTGCATTCTTCGATTACTTATATTATTCACGATAAGAAATCAAGCTAATGATTATAAGTGTAATGCCAATGTTTAAAATACGATTTATAGTGTCGATTATTTTTAATACAAAACTTTAAATGTTAGTAATAATAGTCTGCGAAGTAAATTACGCTATTGAGTATTCTATCCAGAGGTAGAGACCTGGAGTAATAAATCCGTCGAAAGATTTCCTTTACCAGCGAATTCTTTTTATTCTCCGTCAATACACCACCGAGTCTTGAGTGACTCCTATACGCCAAATATATTTATTTGTCAAATAAAAATTTTTCTTAACAAAAATTCTTACATGGAGCTTGTTATACAAATACGTTTCATAAATTTTACAACTAAAATATTGATTTCATTAGATTGGATTCTTAATGTTTTTACATATAAAAATGTTTCTAAAAATGGTTCTGAAAATATCGTTACGTACATAATACAATCTATTTTATTTGTAAAATATAAAGTATTATATACAAAGATAATTTTTAAATCCTTAAAATTCCATTTTTTCATCTGAAATAATGATAAATTTATATTTCATTGTTTCAAACTAAAGAGTCAACGATCATAATTAGTTGAGAATTAATTAGCGACTTACCATTCTCCTTAGCCTTTAAGCCTTTGCGAGCTTCTTTTAGTCCCCATAAAAATTCGTGAAATATGTGAAGTGATTTTTTTAAACTGGTTTTTTTGTAATCTTTTATCTTTGTTGTATCTAAATTATTAATTTCTTCTGTCTTTTCCTTTGCATCGAACTCATTAATTTCTTCTATCAATGTCATTATTGTTGGAACCTTATCTGGTTGAAATTTTTCTACGGTCTTTACTGTAAATGGTACACAAACCTTGCCCGTTTTTGGATGTATGCAAAAAGGTGATTTTAAAAGATGATTCATTCCTTTTGTGACATTTATATCTAACCTCGGATATGCATATTGCAACATTACTTCTTCTCTAAGATGACGGTATAAATACCATTTTGTTCCTCTCTAAATTATTTATTATGATTATAATTAAATTTGAAACATTAATTTCTTATTATATTTATTTATTTATACCTTAGATCTTTTTTCTTTGGCAAATTCACAAAACGCCTTCCATCGTGTCGCACTGGATGAACATTGACCAAATAAATTCTTTAGTTCTGTCTGGTCTTCTTCTTCCGGTAGTATTGCTAAAAACTTTTCAATTCTTTCATTGGTTCCTAATATATCTTGCTCTTCGATGCACATAGGAATAAATTCCGCTTCAATTATTTCCAGTGCACGTCTGCATACATATATAAAATATCATATATTACGTAAACCTAGAAGAATATATTTTATATCGTTATAAGGATACACAATGTATTACCGAATAGATTTATGTATATTATCAGGGGTTAAATTGACTTTCTTTTTCATGTATTCTCCACCACCTACTAATTGTAAATATTCTGCAATGCTAGAGCGTTGAATATCTCCTAAAAAGCGTGCTTCTGGATCACAAACCCAACAATGTATACCTCTCCTACCAGAAAATACCCAGAGAATATGCTTGAATCCAAAATCAGCTAAACCGACAATTATTTATTCTAACATTAACAGATTATTTTTAAAAGAAACAAAAACATTTACATACAGACATAAAAATAAAAAGTATGTATAAATACCTCTCAATGCTGCATCCAATATTTTACATGCAAGTACCATAAACTTCCAACATTTGTTACAAATATCTGTGCCTTCGCAACACGTTCTTACTTCATCATAATCTGTCATATCGATATCAAAAACAAGTTCTCTTTCTACGGGAAAAAATTTTGGTCGTTTCCTTTGTTCCTTCGGTCTAATAATAAGACAATAATATCAATAATAAATAAAACATATTATTTAATTAAATAATAAAACAAATATTAATTAGACAAAGATCATTATTACGGGACATTGTACACTGCACCAATATCAATTTTAAATGGAATAAGTCTCTTGATTTCTCCTTCTAAATCTTTGGGAGTTTTAAATGATTGAAATCGAATATAAATATCACCCTGAAGAGTTAAAGAGAATTCTCTTCTAGTGAAATTATTTACTGAAATTAATATTAATAAAATAAAGGTAATATTAATTAAATAGTTTTTTTTTAGCAAAAAAAAAAAAAGAAATTATGTTAGATAACAAACTTACAACTTCCATAACTAAGCCAGTCATAATAATCATTAAAAGGAAATAACCTAGCATAATAAATCGGTAACAGATCAATGAGATTTTCTATATCTCCCATTCTGAATCCAAATATAATAAAACTTATGCTAAGGATAACTTAAGGGCTCTTTGCCTTCAACTTTTTTACATACAGACATTTAAATTGATATTTCACAGCAGTAATAAATACATTAATATGGCGGGATTTTAATATGAATCTGCTAAAAAGTGCCAAATTTAACCACCTTACTGGATACTAGCGCTAGTATCGCAGCGCATTTTACTCTCAGTAAATAATGTTTCCTGATTGGTTAATTCCTTGGAGAAAAGCGCATTCTATGCGTGCTTTGAGAAACTAAATACGATTAAAAAAATTATGCTAGTAATATATATAAAATAATTTAACTTCTACCATTTACATTCAATATGTAATTTGAAAATTAAAATACTCGTAGATATAGATTTTTTGGTAAATAATAAATAATTACAATGCGCAAATTAATATCATTGAATAAGGTGATATAATTTAAAGCAAGATGCGCATAATGCTACTTGCACACTAGTTCTTAAATTTTTAAAGTTTGAGTTTTTTATCGTTAAGTTGGGTACAATGAAATTTTAAGACTTTTAAGTTACGGACGAAAAAGGTTCTGTTTTAAACAATTGAGTTTTTAATTCAGTAAAAAGTGATTTTTATTTAATTACCAATTAAAGTTCTACGAGAAAAAGAAATAACATTTCGTTTTAATATCTGATCGCTTCAAACGTTGATAACTTTGTTAAAACTTCGTGGATATTTATTCTCGAAAACAGACAATATTCGTCAAAGTAAGTATGATTTATACATGCTTTCGAAAAATTTAGATTTATGAAATGTGATTTACAAATTGAATAACTTTTTTTTGAAATAAATTTAATTAGTTAACTGATCCTTTAATTAATCCAAATCAATGATAATTATTTATTTAAAGTTATCGAGGTAATTCTAATGAAAATTTATATATTAACAAACGATTATTTAGTATACAATTTTTTCAATATCCATTTCCCTTACATACATATTTAAAAGATTAAAAATTTTTGAGTTTATACTTATTTTAAAAGTTCTGAATCTCTATGTCGAAAAATATAAAAGTGAGTTTAATTGAAAAAAGATTGTTTCTACGTTAGACTAGAAATATTTCAAACCCACCCACGTATATTGAAATCACTATTTTATTTTTAGTAAATTTTGATTTTTGATTTTCGTGCCATTTCAAATTATAAATTTTAAATAACATTAAATTTAATATACATATAGTTATATACACAATATATTATAAATAAAGGGGACAATGATAACATTGTAAGACTTCGAACATAAATAATAACGATCTAAGTGGCTCTCATTGTTAGTTTATCACAAGTCTTCGACGCGTCAACATCGCGCGTGCGTTTCTTCTTTCTGAGAATACTTATAATTTTAAATAGTATTATTTCGATAAATTAATTAATATATTGAGTACGATTAAAATAAATAATACGTATTCGAATATAATCAGTGAATTTCATAGCGTATATATACGAGTGATACATTCTCAAAATATTCTATAATATATTTCAAATAGTGTAACATTGTTGGCAAGCGGTGGAATCAAATATGTAAGTAGCCCATATTTTTGTTTTTTTACTCGGATAAAAGATATTAACTTTAATTATTGTTTAACGAATTTAAAAAAAAAAAAGAATGGTCAGAATTACAGGTCAAATTTGTTATATATAATATTTATAATTTTCCGTATTTAAATTAATGCAATTAAAGATGTTTCTTTCATTTCAATATATATTCAGTCTCGTAATATACTGTTAAAGTTAATAATATAATATACATTATATATTGTTAAAGGTTTATATGATATAGAAATGTGAATGTTAAAAATATTATAAAATTCTTTCTCGATAAGGTCCAGTATAGGCAGGGTGTTCGAGAAATGGGAATAACATTAGCAAGATATTCACGTTTAAGTTTTTATTTTGTTTTTTTGTTTCCTATTTTTTTCTTTTTTACTTATAATATCGCTAAACGCATATTTATTCAATTTTTCATAGCGTAGTACCTTCATCCCTTTAACCTTACGTGCAAAAATAGAACGTTTACTCTATTTTCGGATAAATATTATTAATTAGGAATGTACGCGTGGAACTTATCTAAATTAAATTAAAATTATTCTTAAATGATGTGTCAAATAAACTAATTCTTAATAAGTGTTTTTCTTTCTTTTGCGTAAGGACGAGACGTTGATACATATTTCTTGCTTTTTCTTCTTCTATATTCCACCGTATCCCATAATGAAAAAGAAAAGAAATGTAAGTACGAACTATTACACGATGGTAAAATATACTTTTATCGATATATTTATTTACAATTTCGTACTTATATGTAAGTATGCATGTATGTAATAATCTATCATATATGTACACGAGCTTCGCGAGCCGTATACAAAGTAAGAAAAATTAAAATCATATTCTTAACGCAAAATAATAATGAGGCGAGGAATACTTTGAATTAATATTTTTTTTTCTTTTATATATATATATATATATATATATATATATATATATATATATATATATATATCTTGAAGTAAAGATTATCAGTATGCGATTTACACGATACAGTCTTAGTACTTGGAGCAAAATACATGCTTAGCTATTAACTTTTATTTATTGAACTCTTTTTTGTATATATTGTATATACTTGTATTGTATATATTGTATGTATATATTGAAAACCTAACTAACGAGTGAATAGTTTTTCACTCTACAATTTTTTACCTTTGAAAAACAATTTTTATTTCCTATCTTTCTTTCTTGTTATTTTAAATATTTTTATAACAAATAAAATATATATTGTAAGACTATGCGCCGATACGTTATTTGTGTGTGATTGCACACTATGTTTTCTACCATACACAATTGTAAATAGTTTTCTTTCCACAATAACGTACATGAAATTACAAATTGTATTTTTGTAAAAAGTAATTTTTAAAGCTGTATAATATAATAATATAATCATATAATAATGTTAATATTAATATATATGTATATGTGTATATGTATATGTATACACATATATATGTATATACCTTTATCACTCATATACTCTACAATTGCAAATATTTACAAAAATCGTAGTAAGGTCTATGATAACAATATTAATCGTTGCAATAGTCCGATTAACTTTAAACCATCCATACAATATTCGACGAATAAAAGCACTCTATACATTATCTAAGGAGGTTATAATTAATAGATATAGTTTGTTTTAAGACTAACTTTAAATATTTGATGTTTCGACGGAAAAGGCTACTTGATTCTTTTTGATGAATGCTTATTATGTAATGAATTATAGATATAAAAGAGTACTTTACTTATAACATAATCTATATGGTCATTCTTAAGTATATGTAAACACGAAAGATATTTATTGGTGTTCAATTCATTTGTTTGCAATTTGCATGATTGATTGCTAATTATTAATTTGATAAATGTAATATAAGACGAGTAGAACAATTTTTTATTAAACATTGATATTATTCTTTTGACCCTTTAACTAAACAAAAATTTGCTGCTCGAATTGTCGACTTATAATATAACGAAGAAATCTTTCATTCTTAAGAATAAAAATTTACAATATTTTCCTAATGATATTTATTCTAAATGTAATTGTATAGTAAAACTTATTTTATCACTGACGATAAAATTTAACTTTGTAGTTTTATCCACAATTGGGCAACACCAAAGCTTCCATTAACATGATAAGAATTGATAATGTGATTTTTTTTTTTCCGAAACAATTACAATATTGTTTCAACAGTCCTACCGATAGTTAACATACTTATTAATCTCCTATATGAATATTAAAACTATCATATATCGGATGATGCTATAATATTATTCCACTATCGATCTTTTTATATTATAAACATTTAATTAAAAATAAACAAAAAAATTGTATTTATAGAAATTAATTTATCAATTATCTACTATCTCTCAATTTGTTACTAAACGTTAAATTTGACTCTTAAAGATATCGATGTATGTTTCGTGCATTGATGCATTATTTCTAAATTCACATTTAGAAATCGTCACGATAAGAAATTTGAAAGTCACGGCGAAACTGGTGAGAAACGTGTTCTTTCATGATCGTTTGATTTCACAACGGTAATTCTTTAGTAATAGTAGTTGTTGTTGCTTTTAGAAATGAAGGAAAAGAAAGAAAGATAGTAACCTCATTGTTCATGAGGTACTTTCACGAGGACGGTTCTGGTACCTTCCAAATCCGAAATATTAATTTTGAGTTCATTGGTCAAAGCTTCAAGCTTATCGACTACTTTTGGTTCAGCTTTCCCACCAGGATTCGGTGGTGGCCAAACGTCATCTAATGGTGGTTCGATATATTGTCGATTGCTGGGTTTCATAAACGGCATTTCGTGGTTACCCAGTAGACCACTTAATAACCCACCAACTTGATCCGATGAAGCTGCGAACTTCTGATTGTTTGCTTCGTTCTCAATACGAGGACGTTTGTAAGGGGGCATGTGGACCACGGGACTGTAATCGTGATCCAAAAGACCTTCAACTTCCTGCAATAACTCCTCGCTATATTGTTGCAGCTCTTCATCTTTTATTTGTTTCGTATAAAGGAGTGCCCTCGAACGACCTAAAAATAAATATCCTATTAGAAAGAAATTTTTATTGCACATATTTCGAGATAATTTTTTTCAATCGATTTGTATTTTATGTTTTCTAGGAACAAGTAAAGTAGGAGAAGGTTTACGTAACAGCGAAGCCCTATAATATTTGCTTAGGTCACAGAAGTAAGTCAAGGGAATCGGGGAATAAAAGATATTGGAAGTTTTAATAACGATCGAAATAATATCAGGTAAAAATGAATTTTTTCTTCTTTTTGGTTCGTTGTCATGAACAAATAGCTTTACAATCGATAACGTTAGAGATTCTTTATAAGTAAACGAATAAACACCTTACAATGCATTTCGTTACCACCATATTGAAGAATGATTGTGAAGTCACTCACGTATGTGGTATGTGATTCCAAAAGTTCTTGCTTTGAAATTCCAAGAAGTGTTCGTTAACATTATAATGATGACGCATGACCGAAATATATTTGCAGGAAATATGAGTGACCAAAAATTCAATCGATCGTTTAATCAAATGTTATTTGATATTTTATTACTTTTTAATATTTCATTAGATTTCATTTAGAAAGTTTTTATATATTTTCAGTTGATCTGAAAAATCGATTATAGATTAATATTAATCAAGGAAGATTTATTATGCTACCACGATCTAAATCGTATCATTTCTGAATTATCGATATTCGAGATCTCTCGCCAAAAAGAGTTTCGATTCCACGATCGAACGGTGCTTTCTTGTCGTCATTTAGAAAGTTGTAGATCAACTCGTCGGATATCTCGTAGTGTGCTCCGGTTTCACCGCTCTCTTCTTAAATTCAATGTATCCTTTCCTCCATCTATACCTTTCCTTTTTATTTTTTTTTTAATTTTTTTTATTATTTACTCCTTTTTTAAAACTTTACGCTATTTCTATCTCTCCCTATTCACTTTATTTTATATCAATTTCGAAATATTGATATTCCTTGATTATCAAGAATTGCCATGAACTCGAGATAATCCAACGGTAAAATTTATTGCGTATTTTTTATTTTTTTCGAAATGATATCTCAAAATGTGTTGTATAAATAAATGAAGTAACGCGTAGACTGATATCGTTTAATTCTATTTATTACACTTGTGACAACGTTTCGACAGTAAATGAGAAGGTGATTTAATTAACTTTATCTAATCTTACGTATAGCGATAGTATATTATTATTATTTAAAAAAAGAAATATATTTATTTGAAAGTTTCTATAGATATACAGAAAATTGGTTAAAAATAAAAGAACAAGATGCAAGATATTATTATAAAAATAATACTTTTTACAGTTGTCCTATAAATTTATGCGCATTTAAACTTCTGAGTTAGCAAATTTTACACTATCGTCTTGCAAACAAAAATACGTCGCAAGTGGTGTCGATTTATTGAGAAATGGTTGTTTACGCTTGATGTAACGAAGGAAATTATAAGAATCGATGGTTATGAGAATGACCAGTAAATTATTTTTAAATGATAAATAAGAATGAAATGAATAAATAGTTAAAACTCAAGATCATAAATTAAAATAAATTTCATAGTACTATAAGGTTAAAAAATATTCTCATTATGTTAACAATGTTGATAAAGTATAGTTAATAATTGGAAAGTTGAATTTTGATTTATCGTTAACAATTTATATATTTAATGAATTTTTCATCAAATAAAATAACACTCAACATTATTTTTAGTTATATTTGTTTTCAAAAATAGGAATATGTACCTATTATAATGTTTAAACAGTCATTATAGGGAACCTGCAGTATATGATGCATATACATACACATACATATATACACATATAGTGTAGAGTCAAAGTACACATTTACGCGTTGGATCATCAGAGGTTACCTAATCGTTCTTCAAGATATGGAGTATATATTGTCATGTAATATATTTTAGTATTTTGTAATTTCATTTTAACAACATTTTTTTTAAACATTATTTATAAAATCATGCTCGCGTTAGTAATTTTTTATCTATTGTATTAAAAAAATACTCGTTGATAAGACAAAAATTAATGTATAAGACAACGAGTTCTATTCAAAATATCTATATTTAATATAAATCGTAAATTTTGATGAATTGAGCATTCAAATGATCAGATTTTAATTTAAAACAAAATTTCTATAGTTGCTATACTTGTAAATTTATTTTTTGATGAAATCTAAATACATATTAATCGAGTAACTGCATTGATCCGGTACTAAAATACAAAGAGATTATTGTAATCATTTCTAAGAATGGATAAGACAATAGTCGAAACAAATAATTAAGTTTAATGATAGTTCGCACGTGAATAGAAAAAAAAAACATTTGAGCAATAGTATACTCCTTTCACAATTTTATGGGAGTTCAACGTACCAAGTAGTACGCGTTACGACATTGTTAAATAGTTTGTAACCTACGCGTTCACGTGTATGAGTTTGTATGTGTGTAACAGTAAAATAACGGTTTACAAAGGTTATACCTTAAGATCGTTGTTCAAGGATTGGACGAAAGAATCAGTGTAGAACGTGCTCGAACTTCTCCGGAGCATGACCGCATTTAAGAACAAGAATAACTACCCACGTATGGCTACATCGACAATAGTACGAGAATTTAATGTATTGCAATAAATTTATCAACAATTTAAAGCGAAGTTACACGTTTATTGTATTATATGTATTTGTTTGTAAAACCAATTATTTAACGAAGTAATTGCAATTTGAATAATAACGTTTATATTTTTTTCTTTATATCTGGTCAATTTCAAAGAGATCTATCTTATCTAATTTATGCAATATCACTTTGAAGATGAGATATTAAAGTAGTATGACGAAAAATATTATACATAGAAAAATTATTCGTTTCAAAATTTATTGATTCACTTACAAGTAAAATATAATTTGACTTATACTTAAGGACGAAGTACAAGAGGGAAAGTTCGGATGTGAAGAAATCACTTATATTATAGGAAATTGTTAGAATTATTAAAAATATAAAAACATGCAATGACTCACCTGCAAGAGGTGGCATTTTTTCAGGTTGCTCTTGCTCCTTCGTTATATCATTATTGGAATTGGAGTGTGGTCGAAGATTCGGCACAGCTACGAGAGCCAACGAAAGTAGTAAGACCATCAAACAAGTCGCTGGTTGAGCACTCTTGTTGCTTTTCTGTATTAACGTATGGAGTCTTTTAAGTTGACCTGCTAGACTCTGATTTTGAGATTGTAGTGCTTTGATACGTTTGAGCAAGGTCATATTTTCTTCCGTGCACTGTTTCACACGATCCTCCAATCCATCCACGTATTCCTTTTTTCTTTTGCGCGAATCTTGAGCTGATATTTTGTTGCGAATTTTACGTCTGATCCTCTTTAATTCGCGTTCCTCGTGTTTCGTGAGTGGATAATGAGTCGGTAACGTTATTCCTTCCTTTTGTAAAAGACGTTTTTCTTCGGAATTTAACTTTAATCTTGGATAAGGTGAGTCTGTTTCGGAAATTTCGTCACTCGAAATGCAACCCTTGTCGCTGCTGGAATCCTCTTGTTTGATAGTCATCTGAAGAATTGATTTTCGTGTTTTAAAAAATGAAAACTTATAACTAATCAGATTCAATGTTAATAACGAATTAATTGTTTAATACCTGAACAGGTTTATTAATGATATTCGCTTGATTAATCTTGAAACCTTTCAAATTTCTTGCTTGTGATGCATTTATAATCTTTATTGTTCGTACTTCCTTCATGTCCTTTAAGCTAACAGGTAATAAAATCGACCTAGGGTTACCTGAGCCCATTGGTGTCACGCGAATTAGCTGCCTTATGTTTCTCTTTCCGACACATGTGAGATTGCGAACTTTAACGGTTTTCTCCGGAGACGTCATACGTTCCTCATGTTTAATTTGCGTTTCTGGAAAATACCAATTTTTATCTCTTCTCTTTATTTCTTATCTCTTGCAATCTAACGATTGTATTCTTATTTCTTCATTAATTTCTTTTTTTTGTAACACTTTTAAAAATATTTTTCTTAGAGTAAAATAAAAATACAAAAGGACAATATTCAGCTTAATTAATTTCTATGTGTCAACGTGTCAGGGTTTTTTTTTCGTCATGCTGTCTATTAACGAATAAAAAAATCCGAGACGAGTTAAAAAAAAGATTCAATAAAATAAAGAGGAATATAACTTCCACGATTTGCGTCACGAATAATTACAATGATATTCATAATAGGATATATATAGCGAATAAATCGTTTTACAATTGATTTTTAGCAAAAAATAAATTCGCTAACAGAGTCCTTGATTTGTTATAAAAACTTGTAAAATTAACAGTTCATCGAATAAGGTCAGATAATAGACAAGACGTAATGTTCGAACGATATTACATAGATTTATCGTACATTTTCAAAGGTAGAATTATTTTTTCTGAAAATAGTAAAACAGTTTTACGTAGAAATGAAAAGAAATCAATAAAAGAATGTTTTTATTTTGGTGTATTAGATTTAAAGTATTTTAGAGCAATAAAATATTTCAACGATCCTTAACTTTAATTAAAAATATAAATTCTACAATATCCTTAACGATTGCCTTACATAATTTATTATTCTCTCTCTCTCTCTCTCTCTTTCACTTTCTCTCAATAATGTAGAAATTGAAGTCTAATCCAAACACATGATCGTGTAACAAATAACTCTTATTTTTACCTATATTAACTGTTGGTTGTTGATCCGTCGTTATGACAGTAGTAGAATCAGGAACAGTATTATTAGGATTTACAACAGCAACAAGGGTTGGTTCGAAATCTACTTCTTCATTAACATCCGTGACTGGTGAACCGATAGTCGAGCTAACAACTGATCTTATAGGACTGTTGATACTACCCATTGATTGATTTGGACTTCCTAGTGGATCGAATTCCATAAAATTTTGGGGACTGCACGAGTCTGAATTGGAGATTTCAATTTGGTCTTCTTCGATCGGTAAAATAGGACTCAATTGTTGCTCGCAAGAAAGGCTCAGAGCACTGGAAAGTCCACTGTCCGACGAGGAAGATGGAGTTACATCTAAATTGTTCTCGATTAGGTTGAATTGACTATCTTCTAATTTGAAAAACGATTCCAAAAGCTCGTCTGGATTCGTTGACCATTCTTCCGTCTAAAAACAAAATTCATTTACATATTGAATAAATACATATGACAAATATAATTGCAATAAATATACTTCTAGTGTGAGAATTATTTAGAAAAATATTCATATCATGGTTGATATAAAACGTTCAATTTTACATTTACGTTCTTGCCGGTGAAAGAACGCGAACTGGGGATTTATTCGCGAAAAAATTGTACGACCTACTTTAATGCCAACAAGCGCTTTTGTGTATGCATATATGGTCGGCCATTCATCATTAAAGCTACGTTGAGCATCGGTAGAATTATCTTTTAAATGTTACTCGTGCCATTAAAACCTATGTGTGTATACACGATTAATGCTTTTTTGAAAGTTTTAGGATACTTTGAAAATTTTATTTCGTTTAATAATAAATTATTATAATTAAATTTTGTTCGCATTAATTAATTAATTTTCATTTTCTTCAGAACATTCATATTTTCTTTTTATTTATTTTTACATTGTTTAGTCATTTTTTGATAAAATACACGTTGTTGATAAATCAAGAAAAGATCTAAAAATAAATCCAAGTTATAGAGTGATTCCGACTTTAAAACTAACATATACTATATACTTTTACTTTGGAATTTTAGTCACATATAGAATTTACAAAAATTTCTACGCGCCAATAACAAAACGAAAGATGTAAATCGTCTTGTAAGTTCAAAGTTTTCGTAAAATTCATGATTTCGCAATCTCACAATCCTATCGTCAACTCAAAAAAGTATTTCGCTAAAAATTGATAAAATAATAAATGCAAATATTTTTTTTTTGCGGAGAGATTTATTCTATTTTTTTTTTTAGGCTATTCGATTAGACGATGATGTCACGTTTTTGCGGTTAAACTATAAGCTTATCATCTTTAAAAGAAAAAAAAGTAAAAATTCTCTCGCGCAGCGACTTATTTGTTTCTAATAATATATATATATATGCATATATTAATAAGTTACAGGTCTTTTGTTTTCATATAATACGTCGTTTTATTTTTATCACCGGTTGGCATAACTTCAATTCGAGGAAGCATGTTTCTAGCCATTGGCAAGAAACTCGTCCCAGATTGGAGTAAATTGTAAATCTCTCTCTCCTACTTCTTCTTATATCTTTTTCTAATATTTTTTACTTACGTCATTATTAATTCATTTTAATTGAAATCTTGACGAGACTTATTTTTTCATGGAAAAAAACACATTTCGTTTTATCGATTTGTATTTTTACAAACAAAAAATTTTAATACTGTGAAACTTATCTTAATTAGAAAACTAGGTATGCAAAGTAATTTTAATCAATTATTCAATATCTTTGTAATAAACGTAGTAATATAAATAATCATCTATACGCGATTTAAAATTAATTTTAAGCACATTAGGATTTAATTTTCAAGTCTTATCAAGTAATGTATCAAATGAACTTCAAGTGAAGTGATTAAGGTGCGTTAATCCTTAATTGGATTCTTTCGATGAGGTCATAAGAGAATATTTATACCAGCACAAAAAGTCCCGTAACTTAACGGTATTCAACATTCGAAGGTCATTTGCCGTAGCGCAGAGTTTGAAGTCATTTTCAAACCGAAAAGTAACTTTTATTTTATTCTTTATATTAAAACAATAAATTTAATTAGAAAGCGATTCAACGTAGCATAGAAAGGTCGTTTATCTTTCTAAACATTGAATTTAATTAAAATACATTAAAAAAAAAAAAAAAAAGTAAGATAATAAGAGAAAGCGCCTATTTATTTAACAATTAATAACATTGTCTTTTCAAGAACAATGCGTATCTAAAAAAAGAATAGATGAAGTTTTTTTTTTTAAAGATTTAAAGATGAATTAAATACAAAGAAGTATTGGATATCGGCACGTGTATGAGAGACCATTCCATATGGCCGCGTAAAATTCATAACAGTTATATAATTCGAATGATATTTCTTCTAGAAAATATCATTGAAATGTTGTTATCATCTTAATTATCTTTTATTATGTCTGTATTTTCGTTCTATCTAACGTATGAAACAATAAAATTTAAATAAAATGAATTATACATTTAGAAGAGAAATCGTTGTTGTTAACTATGGATTTAAGCAAAAAAAAAAAAAGGCAAAAATATCAGAGAAATTCAATAAAATTCTATTATTAATGAATATATTTTAGAACAGATTTTACAAACGAAATTGTTGTTCATTCTGTATTAGAATCGTTGGTACGTCTATATTAAACTATAATCATTTGGATCATGACTCGGTTTCGTTCAATTCCGCGAGCAAGTGAATGATCCGCGAAGAACGTTAGCGTGTGCACGTGGGTGCACATGCACCATATGTTAACGTGATTCGACAGGGGAAAAACGAATAACTTGGAATTTCCCGCTAGGTTTGGATTTATGATAAAATATTAAATGCTTTTCTTCGTTCGGTATTCTATGATTACTTTTGTTTCCTCGCTTGGTCATAGTTCTCCACGATAACATATGTTTACATGTACAAACACACGTTACATTAAACACACGTTACATTAAACACACGTTACATTAAACACACGTTAATAAAAATATAATATATTTAAATAAAAAGTGACACGAGAGCCACGATGAAAAAATATAAGCATTTAATAATCTCTTCTGAAGAAATAAATAAAAACATGACTAAAGAAATCTTATTTTATTCCTCCCATGAAAGTTAATAAGAATAAGTATATTTACAATTATTACCAAGAGCTCGCACATCTCGGTTCCATAGAAATATTTAATTCAATTTAATTATATTTAAGTATATGTCATCGATACCTGTACCAAGCAAACTTTTTTATACAGTATGGCGATCGATCAAAGGTAAGAATAAGATTTTGGAGCATGAAAAGAAACGTCATCGAATAACTGTCAATGAAATTATTTTGACGACAAAAAAAATATATATTCTTTTAAATAACAAATATTTATCTAGTTATATAGATTTTTTATTTGTTCAATGTTTTAGATTGTGTCGTCACTTGAGATAAGAAGTTAACGGTTTATCTATATATTCTATCAGATAAGAAAAAAAATAGGGTCACAAAAACTGGTTTCTTTTTCGAAGGGAATTGATAGGAACGATCGGTAAAATTTAACGAGGAAAATACGAGTATGCTTTCCGCAGCTTGGTAGCTTTAAAAGACATTTTTATTCACGACGAAGTTATTCGTGTCATCATCGATAAAGCCGGCTATGAGTGTACGTACGTACGTCTAAAACTTACCGTGATGGCGTCGTCGTTATAATTTGGATCGACGAAAGGTTCATCCTTAACTTCTTTAAGGAAGTTCGGATCTTCGGGAGAAAACAGCAAATCCATAAAGTTTATATCCGAGACCGAGGGTGACGACATAACTGCACTTTTTGCTTTTTTTTTTCGATATAATCGAAATTTATCTGTCTTTATTTTTCTTCTTTTTTCCAGAAGATTATTTTAACGCACGACACGCGTGCGTACACGCAAACCACACACGCATATGCGCAATACACGCTTTAATGCGAAAGAAAAAAAACAGCAAAATAAAAGAAAACAAAATTCTTCTAATTAAATTTCTTCTTCATGAAAGAAAAACTTAAATAATATCCGACCGGTTGATTCTTCGATGAAGAAAAGATCCGCGTGTTTTCCAAGCTATGTCACGTAAAACTCGTGTATAATACGAACGAACACTATCAAGTACGAAAGTAGACTACTGAGCTCCGGTAAAAGTCTAGTAGAGGGGACGGATACTCCTTTGCTTGTCAGAATTGGATTTTACAATGTGTGTGAATTCAAGGTAGAGGGGAGTAGGAAAGAAATATCTTTATATTCGCGTTGCGGAAAAGAGAGAGAGAGAGAGAGAGAGAGAGAGAGAGAGAGAGAGAGAGATAGTGACAAAGAGGTAGGAGGGACTTTCGAATAGTTCTATTCTTCTTTTTTTTCTGTGTCTGCTGCTATCTGTACTTTTCCCTCTCTTCTCTCCCTTACTTTTCTGATTCAATCTTCTTGTATTCTTTCATATACTCCAAAACACTTTGTTCGCGCTTATTATTTCAATGCTCTTTTTGTTTTCTTTATCCACGCAATATAATTTCGATATAATTAATTTAATTTCTCTCTATGATAATCATAATTATTAAGCACACATTTTTCTCTTTTTTTTTAATGTTAATGATTCTTAATCGAAGAAATAAAGTGAACACAAAACGAAGGCGTCGGCCAAACTGCCAACGTGGCACTAAACCCGTCATATCAATGGCGTCGTGGCTAGGAGCAAGCGTCTGATTGGTTCGCTCGAATCTTGCGATAGATCGATTTTATTAGAACACTCACGCAAGGATGGATATTTTAAGAGGTCTTTCCTTGGATTCTAGATATACGCTAATGTTTTATTAAAATATATATATTGTTTAATAGCACATTATTTATTTTTTCCTCAAATATTTAGCCCTTTTTAGTTATTATCATGATATGTTTGACAATTAAAGCAAACAATAAGATTATTTAAATGTTTGTTATTTTTTAACAAGGCGATTTAAATACACGATACATTACTACTTGACAAGATGCGCATTACATTTGACATACAACAGGATTACTACTTTGCGCGACAGATTACATCAGGCAGCATTTGTAGGTAAAGTAGAAAACGATATAATGTTGTATGATACTTATTTAAAGTAACATTTAATATTACATTTTGCGCTATTGTTAATCAATTTATTATTAATTAAAATAGATTCTTTGCTTTAAAAGTCTAACAAATTTTACCTACATCAGATATGAAATTACCAAGAGACAATAAGAATATTTTCCTGGAAATGGAACGTGGCGCATCCTAGTAGACGAGTTAGTAAGTTTAAGATATCTCTTATGATATTTCAATTTATATCCGATTTCTTAAAACATAATACACGCTTTATTTAATTAATAAAATATTTATTATTAATATTTAAGATTTACATTTTCGAATATAGTAGAAAAAAATGAAAGAAATAATTAAAGCATATAAATAAATTAATTCTATACACACCATATATACATGCGCATCATACCGCGCAAATATATAACTATATTATCATAAAATTTATATACCAGCGAGTTAATCCGATAGAAACGAAAAAAGGAAAGGAAATTTAAAAAAAAAAATATACTTTTTAGAAAAACATCTGCCCAAGTTTTTCTTCACTCTTATCTTTTTCTACCATTCTTGGGTAATAAATTCCGGCATCATAAAAGTTCTGCGAGGCGAGAGAAAGAGAAGCGTCTTCCGGGTCTTAATCTAGAACCCCTTTAATCGTCTCGACCCCTTTTTCATCCCTTCACAACGGTCGACCTTCACCGTTGCGTTGATAACCCGTTGGAATAATTCATTTTCGGCGGAAACTCCGAGTCTCCGCTTGCACGCTTCGCACGATTGCCTCCAGTGGCCGTGGCCATCCACTTCCGGTTGCACCGGACAACGCGCAAACCGTAAATCGTAGAAACTCGGATATATATGTGTTCGTGCTAATCAAGTCTCTGATGTATCGTATATCGTATTCTCTCTCTCTCTCTCTCATTCCCTCTCATTCACTAGTTTCAAGCTTCGTCGTCCAATAACGATACTTCGCAATCACCTAGCAACGCTGTATGACATAAAACTCGAGAACAAGTGAAATAACAGTTTGTATTCATAATCTATACGTACATATATGTATTTATACTCATATCCATATATATACAAATGTATATTTATAATATTGGATCTGAAAAATATTGAGATACTTTATGAAATTGAATAACTTCTTTCCAGTACTCGTGTGAAAATAATTTTGATTTCAGATAGGATATAGACAAATTAATTATGCTGTTAGAAATATATAATTAATAAAAGACAATTTTTTTTTGTATTTTTATTTATTATTGTAATAGCAATAAATAGCATTATCTAGATAAAAATGATTTAATATTTTTCTAAACGACTGTATATTACGTATTTATTAGAATATTATATTTATATTTAAAATTCAAACATTAAAATAATTACATAATTCTTTAAGTTTTTAGTTTATTCGGAAAGTATGCATTAAACAGGTTCAAGAGAAAATAATTTCTACAATAACATTATAGTGTTTATTAATGTTAATATTATATTTCATTTATCATATATATTCAAGCGATAGAATCTGTTATTTTGATATTTCGAATATATTCCTGTAATTCACATATAAATGAGATTCATTTAAATTCATTTATTTTTGTTCCTGAATTACTGTCCATAGAAAATATCAAATTCTCTTCCTAAAGGATTTTTGAAAAGGAAAAGAAAATAATATATAACCCTTAACGGTGGGTAACGTCCAACAGCTTTATTAACATTCATTTCCGAGATATTCACTTTTGATATTTTTAATTACCTTTTCATCCATATATTTATTTGACAGTATATACATTTTTTTCACTGGTTTTGTTTAATCAAATTGGTCTATAGACGAAAGCATACATTCGGTTACAAAAAGTATTATTTGAACAGTAAATGAATCGTTTTTAATCTTCTTACTAATCTTTGAAATATGCAAACCTCCATCTTCTTTCAAAGGAATTCCGTTTAATTTATGATGATTTCTGTAACGTTTAAGTGATTAAATGTAACGTTCAGGATCTTTAATGGGGGATTTAATTTAATAGAAGATTATATTCCTGGGCATATATCCAATTATCAGTCAGGCATCAATAGGTATTTTAATTAGCCGTCAAGTGGTAGCCGTAATTTTTCGGCATAACGAAGTATCGTACGAAATATTTCCTTAAGAAAAGATTTTCTCATTCTCAAATTGTAACTTTTAAAGATTTGAATAGGTTTTGATGATAATTTTTATTCGATAAAATTTGTTGAAGTAATTGACGATATAAAAAGTTTCGTTCTAAATGTTCGTAACAAGTTCCGACGTTGGATCTAACTTGTCGGACTTTGGAACGATAACCGGAGATAAATGGAAGTAGATTATATATGATATGAGATTTCTCGCGTGAGTATTATCTATCATTGGAATATAATAAATTGTTTTAAGAATATTTTTCTTATTAATGAATAAAGTCTTCTTAAATAAACAAGACATGGTATCACTAATACAAGTTGTTTTATCAATTATTCTCGTAAATCAAACATTTTCATTATGAGAAACATTAATAAAAAATAATTTTTTTATATCGAGGAAAATTCGTAACGTTGTATAAAATAAAAAAATATATGATGGAAAATAGATACGGCGTTGGAATAATTCAACTAATCAAAATGTCGATACTTACGCGCAAATGAGTGTGATAAATAACGATGACTAAAATGGCAATACCGATGAACGTTAAAAAACTCCATCCTTGCCATCCGTAAAAAGGAATATTCGAATGAAAGTGTGATTTTCTTGCACACACTCCCATTACTGTCAATTTATTAATTCTTAATTTAAATATATATGTATTGTTAAGAGATGACAATATATTACAAATAATTTCGTTGAAATATTTTCTTGTTATTTTGTTTAAATTTAAAAAAAGAAGAGGTTACTTTTACCGTCTAAAACGTGCCATGTTATTGATGTTACTATAGACACTGAGGCGAGACAAAAGTAATGTTGAAAAAAACGCACCGTTTTTACGATGAAGAAGATGACCGCTTCTATTGTTTTCGCAATCGTCAACTTTTGACAATATTTTTACTTTTATGTAGAAAGTACTGAAGCTTTTAGAAGAAGCAACAGCAAAGAGAAAGTATATATTGTCCAGTTACTACTGTGACGGTAATTTCTTTGGTAGCCTAGCATTCGAACAAACAAAGACGTTGTTTCATAAAGCACGTTTCTGACGAGCTTTGATCTCGAAGTAGAAACATAGCAATTCTTTTATATTATTTATTCTTATTTATATCAAATAGATTCTTCCATAAAAAGTTAGAATGTAGTAAGCCATGTAAGATCATTTTGTTTCTGCTCATAAGAATTGTTTAACCAACAAATCAAAAAAAAAAGAAACGGTAAAAATTTACTCTACTAATTTTTGTAAGTTTTTAAAAAATTATTTTTAATTTATAAAGCAGGGATGATATACTTGACTAAAGTTCATCGCTCAATACGTTGACGGATGAAACAATATACGTGTATGCATTTATAACCTACCCGAAGTATTCAGGAGCTATTTACTCAACGGAAATTGATTCTCTGTATACCGGAAACGAACTACTCGATGTTGACTCTTGAACGCACGCGACTCCGCGTTCTAACGCGTAAAACGTTATGGTTTGATCCCCACGAACGGTTTCGCGATGCGATTCATCCCTACTATATTGTTTCATATCCGTTAGTTTATGATTCCTAGAGTGGTCGCTCATCGAAACGAATTTTGAAGCTTACGAGCAATCAATGCGAAACCATTATCGAGATTTTTCACTCGAATCGTATTTTTAGTTAATTTCTTATAATTCTTTTTTTCTTTTTTTACTTTTCAATTATTTTTTCAAATAATTTCTTAAAGTATTCGGTTATTACAAAGAATAGTTAAATGTTTTAGAAAATAATTGTATACTTTTAACTGTGAGATTATGTCAAACATTTTTTTTTATATAAATTTTCTTAGCAAATGACAAATCTCAAGTAGAAATAGTAATACTTCAATTAATTACAAAAATCAAATAAAAAATAAATACATAAAATGTTGGCCAAGAGTCAGAGTTTAATTAAAAGTTTCTTTCTCATTTTAATAAACTGCAGTTGTTGCTACTCAACCTGCACAGTAACTGAGGTACCCGGTAAGATATTCGAGTAAATGAAAAATACCCGGTTATGCTTTATTCGATTAAATTTCTGCTCAAGTTAGTCAGTTATTTACAATGCGTTGAATTGTCAATATTTTCAAAACAATATATCGTAAAATAGTTTTATATAATATTTTGTTCGTGAAAAGTATATTTTTCCTCATTCAAACAGTGCGCGGAATATCTGTAAATTTCTTACATTAATATTTTTCATTTACCTCGGTATTTCTAGGTAATTATTATGAAACATCGAGTAATTTTTTCTATAGAATTGGATACTCAGTTACCTGAGAATACTCGGATTGCTAGTAGTAGTTACCCCATTGTAATAAACAGTCTTTCTTTAGATTTTTAAGAGAAAATGATATGTTTCTACGTTTGTATGAAAATACATCTTTTATTATTTTTGTATATGCGTATACATAGTTTTCTGTGGATATATTCGACACATTTTTTAAATAGTAATTACGA